AGGATCTCCACTTGGCATCGCTCGGACGTGTGCATTTTTTCTCTCGGCGAGGACCATCGAGGAGCATTTCGGGCCACCCTGCGAAGAAATTGCGCACGGAACCCTAAAAAGGCACGGGGAGTGGATGCCCGAGGAGCGATTGCGAGTCCAGGATCTACCGGACATCCTGATGTGCCGCATGGGCTGCGCCGCTAGATATCCTCGAAGTCCTTGAACGCATCCCGAGCCAACTTGATCACAACGTCGTCCTCGCCAAATGATGTTTGGCCGCGTCGTGGCCCAGCTGGTAAACTCGGGTCGGGCGAAAGGGGGGGTTTGGGAAAGGAGGGGTTACGAAATCTGCTGCATGCAGCTGGTTTCGGCCCGACCGAGGGGCCCATTCCTCGATACGTGGGTGCCTCCCGGCGCCGGGAGGCGCCGGGAAAATCAGCTACGCGAGCTGATTCTCAACCCCCCCTTTGCTATCCCCCCCTTTCGCCCGACCCGAACGTCGTCCTCGCCAAATGATGTTTGGCCGCGTCGTGGCCCAGCTGGCAAACGAACACACCACGAGTTCGGAGGGCCGGAGGCGCTTGCGATATACCACCTGTTGGTGTCCTGGCCCCCCGGGGGCAGGGCGGCGAGGCCTCCGGCACCGGGAGGCCGACAGAAGCTGCAAGTCGGGCCTGTCCCTCTACACCTTAGGCGATGCTTAAGAAAACTTAAGTTTTTGGCCAGAGTCTCGATTATTCTTAACGTTTCAATGTAAATCTTAAGATTTCAATAGAAATGTTGGGTTTTTATTCAAGTTCTGAGACTATGAATTTCTTAATCCATGATTTCTTAAGCATTTCGCAGGGTGTACAGGAGGAAAATTCAGAAATAGTGAAAAAACGGTCGGGGGACGATGTTTTGACCATTTTGTAGCATTTTGGAATATTCTTGGGTATTTTTTTGATCCAAAATTCCCCTGCAGGGAGACAGGCCCGACCTAAACGTAACGCTCTGCGTAGGCCGCATCACGGCCTCGGTGCCGACCGGGCCTCCAAGGTGTTTGTGCTGCTATCCAATACGCGGCCCCCCCCAGACCTACGGACAATTTCCCGGGGACGTGACAGGCCTATCATCCGCGATTGGTTCTTGATGTCCCCCGAGCCCGAAACGGACGTCTGAGCATCGAGCAGCATGTGAAACATCCCAGTAGTTGTGCCCAAACGTTGGAGGTCTGTGTTCGCGTCCTTGAAGAGGAGGGCGTGCTCTTTTCCAAGGCGCCCCTGAGCACCCAGATTTGAGCCTTACTGCGGCTGTGTCTCCAGTCGCACGCCGGCAGACAACTACTTTATACGTCGCAGCGCGGCAGAGGCAGTCCGCACGCGCGCTCGGGCAAGCCTTAAGTCGGGCCTGTCCCTGTACAGGAGGAATATTCAAAAATAATCTTTAGAAAGAGGTCTGGGGACGATTTGTCTTAGCATTTGTTGACTCTTTTGGGGTATGCTTTCACTCTTTTCTATTTTTCGTCCAAGCTCCCCCTGTGTGGGGGGACACGCCTGACTTAAGGCAAGCCGTGTGATGGCATTGCGCATTGCGCGGACGCGCGAGGGGAAGGAGGGTTCAGGAGCCTTGAGACGGGGGTCAATGCAAACGGGGGTCAGCCAGAGCGCCAGATCTTGCAGGATCCTGCAGGGCCAGGCTCCCACTGACCCGGGTTTGGGTGCAGGATCCGTCGCATTGACCCGGGCTTTGGGTGCAGGATCCTGCAGGATCTTGCAGGAGGCCTGGCTGACCCAGGTCTGGATGGACCCGGGCTAGAAGATCCCCGAAGGCTTTCTCCTCGTCATCTGAGCACATTCCCGTGTTGAGAGCTCTACGAAAGTCCCGGCGGTAACCTGGATGACGGTTAACCGCTTGCTCCCAGTCTTCTTAAAATTCGAAAGATCTTCAACTGGTCATTTTGAGAATTCAAATTTTTATTCCCTGCATCAGGGCAGAGAGGAGCGGCCGCGGGCGCCAGCAGAGAGAGCGAGCGCAGAGACGCGCCGGTGCCAGGGGCGCGCGGCCGCTCGGCTCCGCCCTCCGCCGACCTGCTCCGTGCTCCGCACGGGGAGGGGCGAGGATCGATAGGAGCTCGAGGGTCACCAGCTTCTGCACGTAAGTCGGGCGTGTCCCCCCACAGGGGGATTTTGGACGAAAGACTAAATTTAGTCAAAACATGCTCCAGAATAGTCAGAACATGCTTCGCTTAAAACAAGTCGTTCCCATGCTATGGTTTGACTATTGTTTGGATGTTCCTCCTGTAGAGGGACAGGCCCGACTTAAGCGTGGCGTGTCGTTCCAGCAGTTCTAGCCCACGACGCTCCGCAGCGACGCGGGGTCCACGTCCCCGGCCCCCGGCGTCAACGTCCCGAGCATTTTCCGAAGTTCCCCGCCCCGAGGAGCGGAGCGACACGCTATCCGCTTGCAGGGGGTGGCGTTAAGTCGGGCCTGTCCCACTACAGGGCGAACATTCAAAAGTCGTCAAAGAATAGTCTGGGGACTGTTTTTTGATTGTTTGTATCATGAGTTTGGGGTATTGGGGTTTTTTGGTTTCGCCCTAAATCCGCCTGTAGGGGGACACGCCCGACTTAAGGGTAGCGATCGCCGGGGCCGTCGCTGCGACACGGTAAGCGAAAGTTCCGAATGTTAGGTATGCAAGACGGCTTTTTGCTACGAGCATCGCCAGTAGGGCTTCCCGTTCTGGAGATCAGAGGTGCATCGAGCAGGGCGCCAGGAGATGGCAATATCACTTCGCCACGAGGGTCCACCTCTGCCCCTTGATGGTTGTGCTTCAGCCACGCGCAGAGGTGGGTAGGGGGAGGGGGGAAGGCTCCTTAGAATGCACCCCTGCTTCTTAGAAGGCGCGGGCCTTCTCTGTAGATGTAAGGCCCGCGCCTTCTAAGAAGCCGCCTCCTTCTAAGAAGCCTTCCCCCCTCCACGTACCCCCCTGGCGCGCCGCCAGCTGGTGTTGTTCTTCAGTCGTCCTGTGCGGGGGACCTGGCTGACTCGTGTGCGCGTCGCCCAGTCACGACGCATTGCCCCCGCGCGCGCGCGCCCCTGGACACCATTCCTGCCGCGGGCGCACGGGCAGACAGGACCTCACGGCTGGGGGAGTTCGGCAGCACATCATGGGAGCCTTGTGCCCATCGGTCGTTGAAAGTAGGTCTTTTGGGATTCCTAGGGTCCAATCTACGTTAAGCGCCTGTCGACTTTAATGATCGAGGGGCTTCACCTTGTCCGTCCTCCTCAGGGGGCGGGCGGACACCCAGTCTACTTTCAACGCCTTCCTACTTCATGTTTCTACCCACTTCTTCCGACCGAGGGGTATGGCCTCGCAGTTCCGTCCGCTGAGTGCGTGTATCGATGAGGCAGCTCCGATTCGCCGCCCACTGGCGTCGAACAGCGTCTGTCCGCAAGAGCCAACAAGATGGTATGGGACAGGGCTGGACCTAAACGCTGTGTTTGCGATTTCGTGGGCCGTTCTCGTTCCGAGTTCGCCTTGCGATGAAGGCGCATGGAAGACACAACGAGGGAAAACGAAAACTAAACGAAAACGAAAAACACCGTGTCGGTTCAGCCCTGGTATGGGATGCCTTCGATGTCTGTTCATGGGAGCCTTGGGCGGCGACATTGAAATCAGCTTTTCCTGGATGTGGACAGCGTGGGGACCGCATTTGGCCAATCCTCCTGCTCCTCCTCTCTCCTCCTGTTCCCCCTCCTCCTCGTTCTCCTACGCAGCCCCCACGAATCCAGTCCAAGTCTGGTCCAAATCCGGTCCAAATTTGTTCCAAATCAGGCACACATTGGACAGTGCCAGGGGCCACGCAGGCTCCCATAGAACGGACACCAAAGAGGCCCCCCACGAGTTGCCGCAGAAGTGCAGCGGACCGGGGCGAAGACCTCGGCGAGGCCTCCGGCCGAGCGAGCCCGTCGCCCCGCCGCGGCCCAAGATCCAGGAGGGAGCAAAAACACACAGACACCATTAATCGTCGAGTCCCCAGGAAACATGGGGAAATGTGGGATGTGGGGGGGAAGGCAAAAAACCCAGAAAGTATGGGAAAGTATGGGGAATCCTGCTGTTTGTGTCAATTCATTTGTGTGTCCCAGGGCCCCTTCTGTGAAGGGCCTCTTGTGGGTTGTCTGTGGGGCCATCTCTCAGGCGATCGCAAACATGGATCAAGGGGGCGTGGATTGGCGACGGGTCCCGTTTCCATGGGAAATCGCGGATTTCCGCCGCCGGACGAGGCGGCACCGGCCGCATTTTGGGGAGGGCACCTCCCCCGATCCATGGATCCAGCGACCGCGCGCCAAATCCATGCATCGCTAATCCATCTTTGCGTGCCCCCGAATCTCGAGTCTGTCTCGGGCTCGAGGCGGGGATAACCACCGCCCGGAGGACCGGATGTCGTGGACTTCCACAGGCGGTGGAGATGGAAACCTGTGGCCCGCGGGGGCCCAAGACTAGCCACATCCACCGTCCGCTGGGTCCCCAGGACGTCGGTTCCCAGGCGGTGGATCTGGATAAATCCCCCCCGCGCATCGGGGCCCTGCGGCGTGCTGGAGAGGCCTCCCAGAGCGTCTCGGAGGGCACCTCCCGGGCGCCTCTGCGGCTGCGGCCAGGAGCCCGCCGGGCTGCGGGCTTCTGGCTCGAGCCTCCTGCGAGGGGCCTCGAGGCCCCTCGCAGGGCCCTCGCCTGCAGCCCGGCTCGAGCCGTCTGCCTGTCGACCCTGGGCTCAAGTCGGGCGTGCCCCTCTGCAGGGGGAATGTTCAAAAATAGTCGAAAATTAGTCTGGGGTCGATTGTTGGAGTATTTTGGAATAGTTTTTTCCAGGAATAGTTTTTTCCATATTGTTGCAGTATCTTCTATCTTCAGAATCCGCCTGTGGGGGGGCATGCCCGACCTAAAGTAAAAAGCCCCGCGGCGCTGGGCGCCGACGCATGTCCCCGCGCTGGCCGCGGAGCCCGGCGCCCCAGGCGCCCGCGGGCGGATGAGCGGCGGCGCGGGGGCCGAGCGCGGCAGGCATCGGCGGCGCGTACAGGGGGGCAGGAAGTCATGGTATTGGTGGTGATGATGAGGATGAGGATGAGGATGATCATCGTCAGGATCATCATGATGATGACGATCATGATGAGGATGAGGATGAGGATGATGAGGAAGAGGATGATGATGATGATTGTTTCGGTGATGGTGATGATGAGGATGATGGGGATGAGGATGAGGATGAAGATGAGGATGAGGATGGGGATGAGGATGAGGATAATGATGGTGGTGGTGGTGGTGATGATGACGATGGTGATGATGACGATGACGATCAGGATGAGGATGTTGATTTTGATAAGGATGACTATGAGGATGAGGACGATGATTGGGATGAGGATGAGGATGATTATCATGATGATGAGGAGGATGATGATTGTTGTGGTGGTGATGATGACGATGGTGATGATGATGATGATGGTGATGATCATGATGAGGATGATGAAGATTGTGATCACGATGAGGGTGATGTTGAGGATGAGGAAGAGGATGAGGAAGAGGATGAGGATTCGGATGGTGATGACGATGATGGTTGTGGTGCTGATGATGATGATCATGATGGTGATGATCATGATAATGATGATGATGATGATCATCAGCAGCATCATGATGATCATCATCATGAAGATGATCATGATGATGATGAGGACGATGATGATGTGGATGATGATGATGATGATACTGATGATGATGATGATGATGATGATGATGGGGATGGGGATGGTGATCATGATGGTGAGGATGAGAATGAGGATCAGGATGAGGATGGGGATGCGGATGAGGATGTGGATGAGGATGAGGATGGTAATGTGGGTGTCATGATTATGATTGTGGCGATTATGATGATGAGGATGACGATGATGATCATGATGATGATGGGGATGATGATGATGATGATGAAGGTAATGATGATGATGGTGGTGGTGGTGCTGATGATGGTGATGATGACGGTGATGATGACGATGATGATCAGGATGAGGATGAGGATGAGGATGAGAATGATGATTATGATGATTATGATGTGGAAGATGATGATGATGGTGATGCTGATGGGAATGAGGATGAGAAGGATGAGGATAGGGATGGGATGAGGACGAGGATGAGGATGGTGGTGGTGATGATGGCGATGGTGTTGATGACGATGACGATCAGGATGAGGATTCTGATTTTGATGAGGATGAGGATGAGGATGAGGATGCTGATAATGATAACGGTGATGGTGGTGGTGATGGTGATGCGGATGGTGATGTTGATGATGATGATATTGATGAGGATGATGCTGGTGATGATGCTCACCATCATGAAGCTGAACATGATGATGCTTGGGATGATGGTAAGGATGAGTTGTGAGGAAGAGGATTCGGATGATGATAATGACGAGGATGAGGATGAGGAGGATGAGGATGGGGATGGGATGGGGACGCGGGCGAGGATGGTGTGATGGCGATGGCGTTGATGACGATGACGATCAGGATGAGGATGATGATTTTGATGAGGATGACTATGCGGATGAGGATGAGGATGAGGATGCTGATGACAACGGTAATGGTGGTGGTGATGATGATGCGGATGGTGATGATGATGATGATGATTTTGATGAGGATGATGATGGTGATGATGATCACCGTCATGAAGGCCGCCGCGAGCTCAGGCCTTCGGAGGCGCAGCGGCCTTTAGCGGACGCGCCCCCCGTATTCAGGCAACCAGCAGAGAGCGCAGCCATGGCATCTCCCCGCACGGGCGCGGCACCAGCACGGCGATGCTCCAGCGTGTGAGCCGTGCACGCCGCCGCGAGGATGACAGCTGCTGGTGCAGAACACACGATCCTGCTGGAGAACACTGGGAGCGATGCGACGGAGGACTTTGCCCGCTTGGACGACTACAGCGACATCGAATGGATTGGCGTCACACCGTACAGCGTGCCCTACGCAGCTGGCGAACCGCGGGACTACGAACACGACCCACAGCGAGCTGACGGTAATGCCCAGGAACTTCGAGCAGCGGCAGAACTGCTACACTGGCACGCAGTACCTGAAGCCGATCAACATCCACATGCTGCAGATGAGCTACTACCTACCACTGGAATGGACAATTCTCTGCAGCATAGATTACGGCTGTGCGCCAACGACGGTCCGCATCGCCGCCAAGGCTCGAATAGTCAGAACGCCCCAGCCCAGGAGCCCCCAGGCCAGGAGTCCCGACCGTCCAACAGTGAAGTACCTGCGCCCACCACGCCCCTTCCAGCTTACACGCCACGCCCTCGAACCGCCACGACAGATGTCACCTCGCTGGCGGTGATAGGCTGGAACCCGTTCACGCTGAAGGGCACCCCTGGCAGATTGGACGACATCTCAGATTCTTTCTATAAGTTTCAGGCTCTACTGATGGTTGGCACGAAGCTACGCCAGAAGGCCAAGGACGTTCCTCACCAACATGATAACAGCGTGCGGCATCATTGGATTCACTTTGGATGGGGACGCGCATTGCACTCCAACTCATCAGCGGGCTGCAGCATCGCTATCAGTAAGAAGCATTTTCGAACGCAAGATATTGTTCGCATTCTACATCCGAGTACGGACTTACAAGGCCGAGGAGGCGTGGTGGAAGTGCACCGTGGAGCAATCAGGATACGATTCATTGTAGCGTATTTCCCCCCACGACCTGGACAGGCAGCTCATGTACCGAGATGGCTAGTGGGATGTCGCAAACTATTGAAATGGCTCGTTCAAGTTACGACGGAGGTGCCCGATCGAGTGATACCGATAGTGTTCACGGACCTAAATCAGGGCTTGGGAATGACTGGCAGCAAAAAGAACACTGACGAATCCATTGGCCCCTTTCAAGCAAGTACGGAGACATTATTCGGCAAAGAAGTACATTCGGCCCTTCGGCAACATGAACTGAAAGCGCTCAACACTTTTCGCGACGTCGGCTACACGTACCACGGACCCAAAAAAAACAGCTCCAGGATCGATTACTTTTTGGGATATTCTAACTTACTGGAGATTGTCAAGACTATTAAGCTTGAATGGAGAATCCATCGCCGAGTACGTGCGCTCATCCACGTCCCTGATCATGTTCCAATGGCATTACATCTCCGTGTTCCCGTCACCCAGGTCGACCCTCTGCAGGCCAACAATCGATGGGATTGGGGACTACTCGCTCAGGGACTGCAGAAAGGCACATATAGGGAAGACCTTATCGAGGCTGCCGCGAAGGATTTGGACACGTACAAGGAAACCCTACGGGCAGCGCGCATGGACCAATTCCCTACCAGACACAATGCCATTCTTCATCACATTATCACCACTCAGGCGTCCAAGCTGTACAGCACGACGAACAATAAGCCCGAATGGTGGAAGGATGCCCGCCAGCAACGACTCCAGCTCTTGCGACAGCGTGGACGAGCACGCGCAGAAGGCGACGACTTCGATTCCAGCGAGCTTCGGAACATCCAAAAGCAACTCAAAGCGCATCAACGGGAAGTGGACCACTGGTGGAAAGTTAGTTTGGATCAGGACATTCGCGAAGCTTGGGCCGCGAGGGATCTATCACGAGTTTCACATCTTATCTTCGAGCTGGACGCCGAAATGGAGCACGCCGACGATCATATCTTTCCTTGCCTGCTACACGCCCCAGTGGTGCTGAATATTTTGAGGCTTTGAAAGTTGCCACCACCGACGGCGGCATCCAGGCCAGCATGGCGTACCCCAGCATGTACATTGACGACCCCACAGCTGTCACGAGATTACTTTCGCTGACAGATGACGTTCAACCAGTAGGATATGACGTGGGCGTCCCAACCATGGAGGAGCAGGAGGCAGCGCTTGAAGAACTTCAACACATTCAAAAAAGGCTTTGGCGCGAGAAGCGCCGCAGGTACAATCCGCCCTGGGCATGGCCGATCGAGATCACAATTATGCTGCTCAACCCCACGTACTTGACACGTCCTGGACAACAGCGAGCAGGCATTGGATTTCAGACCCAGGACTACCCTTCAGCGCATCTCTTGGCGACCTCCGAGAAGCCTTTCCGACAGCGACGGCTAAAACTTGATCAGCACTCATGCTATGAGATCGTGCAGGCTTTCGTGCAGCTGATCGCTCATGTACATCGTACCCAGCAGTTGCCAGCCCCGGCCGTCACGAGCCATGCCGTCGCAATCGGCAAGAAAGGCAAGTTCCCTACAGGACGACCCACGTTTGACATTCAGAATTGTGTTCGGCTGCTCAACTGTTTCGACCATCTCTGGCGATTATATCTTCGTATCGGCATTTTGAAGTACGGCAGTCAATATGATCCCCCTCCGTGGGCCCATGGAGGCATTTTTGCTCGGAGGCGAGAGGCACTTATGGTACTGGTCAAGCTCAGTATTTGGAAGTTGAGGTGCTCGCGCCCTTCGTTCTTGGCCAAGTCTTACGACATGCGCAATGCCTTCGCCACGGGCTCCCATGAGCGGCTGATTGCAGCACACACGTTGAGATGTGATGACGAACGCTTTCATCCTCTCCTTTCTCAGCACCGTGAGCAGGCCGTAGTTTACCTCCAGGCCTCGGACGCCAACCTTGCTCTTCGGCCAGGAACGGATGGGGGACTCAAGTGAGCCAGAATTACTCATGGGATCTTTCTACCCCCTGGTATCGCAGTGGGAAGCGCAGATGGCCGAAGTGCAGGGGGGGCCCGTTCGGCGTTGTGTGCCCTTTCACGTCAACGACCCACAAGGGTCACCTAGGCGCCTTCATCGATGACTTGTCTAAGATACTCCTCATCCCTGACGGGACGGCTCATCAGGCAATATTGCTCGACATGATCGATAACAGTACCCTCACCCAGACCCTATCCATCGGAGGCTACGCCCAGAACGTTGAAAAGCAGGACACGTTGGTCTCTTTGGGAACCCGAGCTGACACTAAGGAGGCCGAACGCCGAGTCTTGGGGAGGGCCCAACAGGATCTCATACACTTAGGAGGATACGTCAGCGT